AAAAAGAAATTTGAGTGGATACATTTGCACACAAACAGACAAATACATATTGTTTTATTAGCTTGTTTTTCCGTTCGCTGCCGTTGTCCAGTCATTCCTCCATCCATCTGTTCCCCCACTGTTTTTTTTTCTTGCACCCCATCACCCTCCTACTTCTCCATCCGTCTTCCTGTTTCCAGTTCACTACCAGTTACTACCTGGGTAAAAAAAAGATGCTCAAAAAAGAAGCTTTTTTTTTTTGGTTTTTTTCTTCCAGTTGCCGTTTTTTGCCCTTCCCTTTTTCCGCTTTTTTTTTTTTTGCGACCTATTCAGTTAACAGTCTGAGTATTTTGATGGGAGAAAGAAAGGAGAAAAAATAGACTAAATAATAATGATTTTTCTTTTGTTTTTGTTGATTCTTCTTTTTTCTAGCATTCTTAATTGCTTTGTTATGAATATAGCATATTTAATTACTTGTAGGTGGTGCTACTGGTTTTTTTTTTCTACTCTTGGCATTTAGCTTTCTTTCCTCCTCTTTTGCTGCCTTTGTTTCGTTGTTATTCAACATTTTTTTCCCATTTAAGTTAATTTTTTTTTTTTTGCAGTTTCTCTTCACTTTTTTTCGGTTTATTTGTTTAGGTTGCTGTTGGCTGATTGTCTGTTTGTTTATTTGTTTATTTTTTTTTATGGAAAGCCAAAAATTGCCTTAAAAGGCGTAACAGCAACGGCAACGGCAAAGGCACAGCACAGAAACATCAGAAACAAAAAAATTAAGTATAAACCAAAGAGCTTAGGTATAGTAAAAATGAAGGCAGAAAAGACAGGGCGAAAACGACATCAACAGAATAAAAAAAAATGAAATGAAAATGAAAATAAAAGTATTTTGAGATGAAATTTTTCGTTAACGACTCATTCAACATTTATAGCAATGTGTGTATACATATATGTATGTTGGTGTTGACGTTTAAAAAATGTAGCATTTTTACTTACCCTTATTGCTTTTTTCGTTTATGGATATTATTATGATGGCGATAATGACAATGGTTACGAGGGGACAGGCATTTTTACTTCAAACGTTAGGAGAGCGGGAAGGAGAAGAAGGTGAAAGAGGAAGAAAAGAAGAGGAAGGAGTCGAGGACGACGAAGATGAAAGGGGGAGGAAGTAGAGGAGTACGGTGATGGAAAGAAGGGGTGCGGAGGAAAAAGGAAGAGGGGAGAGGAGAGGAATGAAATGATGATTACGAAGATATGTGATGATGAAAAAAGGTGAAGTGAAGAAGTTGATGCTTTTTGTTTTGTAATAAACTGTTAAATCCTTCACCGTTTTCAGTTTAAGCATTTGTATTGACTAATTCAATCTCCCGTCTAATAATTGCTTCATCTTTCCCCCTACACTTCTTTTTTTTTT